ATAACCGTATATCATCGGCTAATCCGAGAACGGCGCGTTTAAACGTCGAAAAATAAAGAAAGGGTGAAAGAAAGAGAGAGCAAAAAATGGAACGAGAAAGGAATTTCTCATCTTGTGCACTCGGTCAGACGCATATTTCCTTTTTCTCAAACCGATCAAACCGAAAGGATTTTGATCCCCATGATATCTCTCGTAAGAACTTCGTAGAAACATCCTTCTTCATCTTCTTCATCTATTTTATATAATATTAGAACAATAACAGAATGATCCGTTGAAGCTGGGACATTTGAATAATTGAATTCTTTCTACAATACGAATAAAGTCTTGGGGCAAAGGGAAAATTGATTTTCTATCGTTACGTTCGATTTTTCCCAGTTATTTGAAATGAGAATGTAATAAAGGGTAATGTGTTTGTTTTGTAAAGAAAAAACATTGATTTTTCGTTTGAAAAATAGGGAAAAAGATATTCGGCAAGCATTGATGTTCGATAAAAAGTACGCGTAGGAACGCACTATACTCGTATTAGTATGCTCGTGGGCGAGATACGTATATTACGATCAGATTAACCTACAGATTATATAATTCTACGCAAAGCATTAGTGAGTTAACAATTGAAATAAAAACATGAAAAAAAATTAAGAGGATTGTTAGGGATCTCGAGGGATGAGGAGCAAACGCGATAGGCAGGTGTCACGCCATCGAGTTACCCCCTGGCGCGACGATCGCACAGATTACGATGGTTTCGTGCACGAGTTTGTCTCGGGGGTGCTTACCCCTTCTACCGTCTGCCCACCCACTTTCCCGACCTCTCTACCCTCCCGCAACTAACGGACTTGGAGCTACGTTGACACTGCATCACGAAGCACTAACCGCGTTATTTATGTTGCCTCGTAAAACTTGTGGCGTGCCTAAACACACTATTCCTTACCGATTCTCTCGAGTATGCCTCTCCACCTTTTTTTTCCTACAGATTCGACGGACGCGTATACGTGTTCCGGCAAAGTGCGCCTTGCGTCTTGACCTATGCGAAAAGCCGGGTGGGGGAGGGGGTAGATATCCACCTTTGGGACGAAAGAAAAGGGAATAGGAAACAGGGTGTCGCTTTCTTACTCGAACGTTTTTCAACGATCGTCTTGGACCGAGATTAGACTAATAGCGAACGGACCAATCATCGTGATTTTGCGTGAATCTACCTTAGATTTATAAGATATATTTGTAAAAAGGAAAATAAGAATATTTTAAGCAACGAAGCAATGCTTAATGCATTCTACAAGATGTATTCCAGATATAATCCGTTCATTTCCCACGTGTATTAACTCGATCCGTTTATTGAGACATTTCCGATGTAGCATTGGTAGGTATGTAAATACATTGATTCGAGTGCTGAATGATTCCGCGATTACATTTCTATCCATGTGTAATGTACGCGCTTGTAACTTGTTTACGTTGCATCTACATATATTCGCAGAAAAAGGTTCGGATTAATGGACTGTTCACCGAAAACAGTGCTAAAGTAGAAGTTATGCACATTTATGCTATGCTTCGTAGTTATCGCTCCTGGTTGTATATGTGCGTATTTGTGTGCGACTGCATACTACAAAGCGCAAACACACATATTCTTTCGATACTCGAAATGTTTGTAGGTAGGAGCGATAGAAGGGTAAAAGAATAAACAGAGATAAGCACGTAGGTATGCGACAAAAGTATAAGGTCCAAACGAACCGACGGTCGACATAAACAAAGAAGGTGCGTGGTATGTTTTTTTTACCAAACGTGTCATTTCTTTTCTATTTAAAAATGTTTCTATTTTATTGAAAAATTAATATTAAATTATTTATTTCGCAAATATTGTAATTAACAATTACGAAATATATTGAATATAATAATTGTATTATCTGCAATATTTTACAAAAAAATGAAATGATTATCAGATACATCAGTGAAAAAAAATTATACAACATTGTAGAATATTTTTCTTATAAATATATAAAGACATGTTTTTTAATTATAATGTTTGCGTATTTAGGAAATTTATACTAATTTTTAATACAATAGAAAAGTTTTTAAATAGAAGAAACTAGACACGTTACAAAAACAAATAAACCTTATTTACTTTATATTTCCAATAAGAATAAAATAATATAACCTATTTTACAAATATAGAAAAAAAATATAGAAAATAAATTAAAAAAAATTTTTTTTATATTATAAAATAAAACAACGAAAATAGAAATAGATTTTAAAATCGTTGTAATTCAAAACCCGATGAAACGAAAAAGATCCTACCACAATTGTTCCCTTCTTTAACAGCATCTACAGTTATTAGTTGCAACACAAAAAGAAATACTTGTATGTGCTAACCCATGATAAAGATATCTTAAATTCCCAGAAAGGGTGAAAAGTGTAAGATAAAAAAAATTCATCTACCTTAGTTCAAAAAAATATATATTATATTTACTTGAATTAGAGGACGGCGTATCTTTTTGTCGACAAATATTCTACAATTTTCGTCTCTATCTATGGCTATCGCATTCAGCATTCCATCTTGATGGATAGAATTTTGAAAATATTAGTTTTTGTCAGCTACCTACACCCCAAGGTCGGTTCCTTTTCATGAGAAAAGAATTATAAAAAACGGCATTGCGGAATAATCAATTAGAATAGATATTTAAATTGTATGAAACCAATGCCGTTCATAATCAAATGATGTAATAGACCCGGGGTTTTGTCAGAAAATCAAAAATTTTTTCCGACTTTGTGGCTTACTATTTTTTAACGGCACTACATGTTTTCTCATTATTTTCGATGGATCTATAGATGGTAAGAATGCCGTACAAAATCATTTGATAAAAAAGCACCCGGTTATTTTGTGCTTTTTAATTCTCACCTGCACTCAGTTGGACAGCTTACAAGTAACGGCATAGTGCTAAAAATTATTATTTTATGCCCTTATATCGTCCAATATAGATTTCCTGCGGGATCATATGACCCATTGGTTTTTTAGATCGGGCCTGTAGTCTATAACGTTTTGAATACATTCCCGTTAATTCAACACTTATGTCCGGTACTCTTAAATTTTTAATTTCGTAGCACGCTAAATTTTTGTGTACTAAAAATAGTATACCTCCTCCTCTTAAATGTAGCCGATTTTTTTGGAATGTTTTTAATCCAGGAAATTCGATGTTTTTGGTGAGGCATGTTTCGACACATATTAGAATGTCTAAGTCAGTTAGCAAGTGACGTACTTCTTCTTCTTTTTCAGAAATAGAGTGACAGTTCCAGTATAGTATTTATAAATTGTTTTCACACAACTTAGCCATTTTAATTGATATCAAAATTGTATAAAGCAGCACTTACAGTCTTAAGAGTTTTTTTTTTTATTCTACTAAGCCTTGATTTAGCATTTCGATGTATAACGTGAGGATAAATTTTGTCAATCATATCAGCTAGGCACCTTGAGTTTTCTGTGTACTTTTTAGCTAGGTTTGTAACGTCATAAACACCGTATGAAGCAGCGAAAAATTCTTCAAATTCTATAAAAGCAATAATACATTCTTCTTTTGAACTTTCAAGTGCTAATTTAGCTGGTAAAAGTGCTTCTTGATGATTCATATTACTTTCCGCATCCGACATATCTGATTGAGAGTCTTTCGTATCATTAGGAACTATTTTTGTTTTTTTGAGCTTAGGCTTAGGTAAGCACCACTCCTCGGATCGTCTCTCTAAGAGCTTTTTAGCAGTGTCGTACAGTACTTGATTTTCTGTARTTACATCTGATACAGCAGAAGGAGGTGGCCTTTTCAATGTGTTTACAAGTTCATTTGGTTTAGAAATGTCTGTTGAGTTATCTGATGTAGGCGTATCGTTGTTGTTATTCGTATTCATACTTACGTCTTCGCTGTATTTAGTACACGTCTTAGCTATATGGCCGCTTTATTTACATATGAAACAATGTGTTGTATCTGTGCTTAAGAAAATCCAATACGTAACGTTGTCAAAGCTGATTTGTAGCGATTCAAGTAATAAACTTTCTTTTTCTTCTCTTATGTAACATTGACGTCTAAACGAAAGAATGTGTGCTCTGTCTGGTTTTATTAAGCCTGCTCTTAAACTATGTGTGTTTGATACTGGATTAATGCCTGCATGTTTTAATTTTTCGAGTAACACTGAATTTGGAATGACCGGATTAACGTTAGATATTACTACTCTTTTATTTTTTTCAATTAGCGGTCTTACTTTTAATTTCAGGTTTTTAACTTGCACAGTTTTATTTACGAGAATATCTACTAAAGCTTCACTGGATAAAAAGATACATACACGAGCGCCAGATATTTTAGAAATGTAGCGTATTTCCATAGGATTTATAATATTCTCTAGCCCATTAATATAGTCACCATTAGAAAAATCTTCGATTGGGTCAAGTATTATTGCTTGTTCTTTCTTTGGATTGGTGTATTGAGAGGTAACATTGGCGTATGATGCTGTATTTTTTTGTAATATAGTTTTATTTAATTGACCCCTGTTGTCAGAAGCCATGTTGTTGGGTTGTTTTGTCATTTCAAACTGCATAAGCAGTTTGAATGTGTTGTTTAGTCACTTATACGATAGAAATTTAGTATTACAGTAAAGCTTTATATTTACACACTAAACCATTCACTACAATCACGATTTGTTTACACTCGCGTGAGACACGTCTATTCGCTTCGGCGTCTCAAATTGTTTCAGCCCTTTGATATACAGTATATATATGGTAACAATATTATAATAAATAAATCATACAATTATCTTACTCTTAATATTCTGCATTCGTCTCATTCTTTCGAAACTTAGTTTTTTGAAGGTTTCACTTCTAACACGTGTGATCTGAACACATGATATTTTTTTTGTTTCTTTTTACATAAATGTACCGTTCATACGATCGAGAAAACACAGGAAAGGCATGTGTAGAATATAACGAACATTTGAAAATAATTTGTTGACGAAAAGAAATTTGCTTCCAGTTACCGTATTCTATGGAGTTAGATTACGACGTGGTGAGAGTAGCGGGTGGAGCTTCGGGTATGATGGCTTTACTGTCTCCGAGGGTGAACGTGTCGGCCAAAGGCGAGGTCCCCATCGTCCTACAAGTCTTTAGGATCAGACTTCCTTGTTCCGGTCTTGTTAGTGCCGAAATTCCTTTGGCCCTCAGGCTGAACGTCACCGCACCTCCTGGTACCAAATACAACGACACCATACTCATCTTCAAAAGGAACAAAATATGTTTGAAGGGTGAGTCGGATCATTAACAACCATTTTACAATATATCGTGATATAATATATAACGAGTATCCACAGAATTTTTATATATATGTAGGGAAAATTTATTAGGGTGAGAGGTGCGAGGTGAACATACACCCAGTTTAATCCTACTAATAAGATTTATTTAAAACAGGTATTAGAAAAAG